ATCCAAATACAAACCAAATTTGTTTTTCAAAGAGATTGAAAGGGAAACAGTCACTCCATGACCTTAAAAACATACAGCGGTAGTAACTGAAACAGTGTGGTACTGGTAGCATGACAGGCACATAGGCCAATGGAACAGAATTGGGAACCCAGAAATAGACCCAGCTATCTATGGTCAGTGGTCAGTCTATATTTGACAAGGAAATCAAAACTATCAAATGAGGAAATAACAACTTTTTACAAAATGGTGCTGGCAAAACTGGACTGCTACTTCCAGAAAGCTTTAACAGGATCAATATCTCACACCATACACAAAAATCAGCGCAAAGTGGATCAGAGACCTGGGAGTAAAACCCCAAACCATAAAGTTCATCAGAGACAAGCTGGGTTCAAGTTTAGACGGCTTAGTCTATGGTTTAAACAGACTGCCAAATACAGCTATAAATGCACTATCTTGAGTGGGTAAATTTGTTGAGTGTGACTTTCTAAAGATTAAATTCCTGTTTGCATCAAAATCTTTTCCCAACAGGGTGAAAAGAAAACCTACTGACTGGGGAAAAAAAGATTTGTCAATACCATTTTAGACAAAGTTATCATATGAACAGTTTACAGAATTCTACAGGACCTACACAGGAAAAAGACTGGCAACAATTACAAAATGGGCAAAAGACGTAGAAAGACTTTTCACAGAGGAAAATATTTGGATGGCCAACAGACACATGAAGAAATGCTCAAAATCACTGAAATGAGAGAGATGCAAATCAAAACCACAATGAGATACCATCTCATCCATCTCAATAATAGTAGCAGAGTTTAACAGTTTAACAGCAAGTTAATATATAATGGAGAGGATGTGGCAAGACATTGTTGTTCTTATGTACTGTCGAGTCACTTGTCACCCATAGCCACCCTGTGTACTGCAGCTCTGAACCCTGCCCTGTCTGAGCCAGTCTCACTAATTTCAGCACACCAACTTCCATTGCCCCAGGCGATGTTTCAGTCTCATCCAGAGTCTTCCTCTCCTTGCTGTCACTCCACCCTCCTGAGTGTGATGTCCTTCTCCAAAGGACAAGTCTCTCCTGGCCATGTGTGAAAAATATGTAAGAGGGATCTTCAGAATCACTTGGTTTCACTCTTTCCAAGACTTACATGTTTTCTTGGCAGTCCATGGTATGTTCAAGACTCTTCCCTAGCACCAACATTTGAAAGCATCAATTAAACTGTCATCCTTAGTCATTGTCTAGTTCTCTGATGCCAAGGAAGTAATTGTGAAGACCATGGCCTGTATTAGGCGCACCTTAGTGTCTAGATTGACATCGTTGCTTTTCAGTACTCTGGAGAGGTCCCTGACAGCAGATTTTCCCAGTGCAATTGGAAAATTTTCATTTCCTGAATGCTGGTACCAAGAGTATTGATTGTGGAGCTGAGCAAGCTGCAATCATTAGCAACCTCAGTCTCTTCTCCATCTATCACACAGTATTGCCAGTTGGCCCAATGGTGAGAATCTTTGTCTTCTTGTTGTTGAACTTCAATCCGTATTGAATACAACACTCCTTAATCTTCAGCAGCAAGCACTATTTTTTTTTTAGCAAGCACTATTGGATCGCAACAAATTGTGGCTAACCTTGAGGAAAATTTGAATCCCATAATACTTTATTGTGCTTATGTGAAACTTGTACTTGGACCAGGAAGCAGTCCTCTACACAGAGCAGGGAAACACTGCATTGTTCAAAATCAGGAATAAAGTGCATCAGGGATGCATCCTGCCTCCATACCTTTTCAACCTATATGCAGAACAGATCGTTTGAGAAATAGGATTTTATGAGGAGGAATGTGGCATCAGGCTTGGAGGAAGACTCGTCAACAACCTACATTATGCAAAAGACACATCCTTTTGGTGAGGTAGGAACTCATATACACTGTTGGTAGGGTTATAAAATGGTACAACCATCCTGGAAGGCAGTTAGGTGGTTCCTCAAAAGGCTGAACGTAGACATTCCATATGATCCAGGTATTCCACTGTTTGAAGTACGCTGTCGTTGTTATGTGCCGTCGAGTCGCTTGCGACTCATAGCGACCCTATGTACAACAGCCCTAAACTCCGCTCTGTCCTGTGCCAATCGCACTGTCTCTGACACTCCCATTCCAATTATCCCAGTCACCGAATCAATCCACCTCATAGAGGGCCTTCCTCTCCTGCGCCGTCCCTGCACCCTCTCAAGCATGATGTCCCTCTCCAAGGACTGGTCTCTCCTCACACCATGTCCAAAGTATGCTAGACGGAGCCTCAGAATCCTTGCCTCCAAGGAGCCACCCGGTTTAACCCTTTCCAGGACAAATCTGTTTGTTTTGCTAGCAGCCCATGGTATTCTCAATACTCTTCTTCAGCACCACAGCTCAAAGGCATCAATTCTCCTTCTATCCTCCTTGGTCATTGTCCAACTCTCTGATGCATAACAAGTGATTTCGAAGACCATAGCCTGTATCAGACGCACCTTAGTCTCCAGAGAGACACCATTGCTCTTCAGCACTTTGGAGAGGTCCCTAACAGCAGACTTTCCCATGGCAATGTGCCTTTTAATTTCCTGGCTGCTGGTGCCAAGACTGTTGACTATGGAGCCAAGCAAACTAAAGCTGTGTACAATCTCAATCTCTTCACCATCCATCCTGATGCTGCCAATTGGTCCAGTGGTGAGAATCTTTGTCTTCTTGACATTGAGCCTCAATCCATATTGTAGGCTGCAGTCCTTGACACTCTGCAGCAGGCGCTTCAGGTCCTCCTCAGTTTCAGCAAGCAGGGTTGTGTCATCTGCATAACGCAGGTTGTTGATAAATCGTCCACCAATCTTGACCCCATATTTCTCCTCATAGAGCCCAGCCTCCTGGATAATCTGTTCTGCATGTAGGTTGAAAAGGTATGGAGATAGGATGCATCCCTGGCGTATGCCCTTCCCAATTTTGAACCATGCAGTGTTCCCTTGCTCTGTTCTGATGACTGCCTCCTGGTCCAAGTATAAGTTTCGCATTAGAATGATCAAGTGTTCTGGGATTCCCATTCTTCTCAGAGAAAATGAGAACTGAGGCACGAATGGAGACTTGTACACCAGTATTTATTGCACCATTATTCACCATCATAGGAACATGGAAGTAGCACAGATGTCCAACCATAATCAAATGGATTGAGAAATTATGGTACATTCATTTGATGGAATATTATGCAGTACGCAGGAGGAATGACTTTGTAAATCACTGCCTAACTGGAGGGACTGGAGAGCATTATGCCGAGTGAACTAACTCAGTCCCATAAGGACAAATACTGTTTAAGACCGTTATTGTAGGATATGTATGAAGATGCAGTGAGTGAGAACAGAGGGCTGAGGATTGGGGAGGTGCTTAATCATAGGGTTGCACAATTTGGTGAGTGGAGAGAGGGATGGGTAAAGGAAATGGGAAAGATCTGGTGTGAAAAGCAACATATACAAACATTGTAAGCAAACCAATATACAATAAAAATTTTATTTAAAAGAAATTATTTTGTTGTTTTGTGCTGTAATGTCAGCAATAATAAATATTCATTTATAGTAGGATGTATAGGCAGACAGATAAGAGGAATAGTCACAAGTGAAGGGACTACCCACGTGGCCCTGCTTAGTTTTGACAAATGATACATATACATGTTAATTTCAGGTGAAAGTTATTTTAATTGTTATAACTATATCTATGTATATAGCAGACTTAAATGGAGGCAAAGTTATGCAAACTTCTTAATTACTATTAAACAGCCTGCAGGAGTGAGTCACTGGTATAAGAACCTTATGATATAGTATCAGGGTACATCAGGGCCTTGTGACCCAACACAGTCCACAACAACAGTGTTCTGCATCCCGCTTTGGTGAGGAGCAGCTGGGTTCTTAAAGATATTTCAGGGGCCATGTAAGGTACACAAATAAAAATCTTTTAAATATATTCTTTTAATTCTTATATTATGCCTTTTTATAAGTTCATGCAAAGTCACTAGGTTATTTTTTTACAGTGAAGAAAGTCAGCTGTTTATAGTGGATAAATTTTGTACCATTCTCACTTCTTCACCAGTTCGAATCCACCAGCAATTTCTCTGGAGAAAAACAACCAATTTCCCCTCATGTGATTTACTGCCTCAGAAAGCTCAATCATGAGCTGATTTGCACTTGATGGCAGTGAGTTGAGTTACACCCTCAGTTAAAAGGAGTGTATACTCTTTGCCATCAGGCTAATTCCAATGCCTAGCAGCTCTGCACAGTGGAGTTGAGCTTCACCTTAAGCTTGCCATGCCTGTATATCATTTCAGAAGCGTACTCCCACATCTTCTCCTGTGGAACTGCTCGTCAGTTCAAACCATAGACTTTTCAGTTAGCCACTGTGTCTCCAAGGCTCCTGAAAGAAGTAAAGTAGTTATCAATTTTCCACTTACAGAGAATAATTTAGAGATTTCAAACATCTTAGACCATTTCCTGTATGATTAACTAAGATATGTCAAGTGCTAAGCACAGTGATTGCCACATGGGACACACGCACTATGTGTAGTATTAGTCGAAGCTGTCATATTTCTAAATACAAATATTTACTCACTAATGTAGTATTAATATAAGCATCCCTTTTTCTAAACATAAGCGTTTAAAAGTGTTCTTTATGAGACAATTTGACAGTGCCAGTAGAAACAAAGTACTTTATTTGTATTGTGATAGCTATCATTCAAAAATACTATGGTTCATTATTTTCTCTCTTTTTAAATTTACTGCACTTCAGTTGGATCATAGTCTTTGTGCTGCTTAACCTTTTAGACATTACCTTAATAGTCAGATTATTGAGGTGTGTTTTTTTTAAAGAAAGTGGTGGTTCATTTTTACATAATAAAATACTATAAGAAAGCATTTAATTCTTTTTATAGATTTCTCATTTAGACTATAGACATAAAACCTGGCTTAAAATATGTCTAATATACTTAAATTTTGTTTTTCCTAGGTGGGGGACATTGTTTCCGTTATTGATATGCCCCCCAAAGTATTAAGCACATGGTGGAGAGGCAAGCATGGATTCCAGGTAAGTAGAATTAAGTTAACAATTAAGTAAACAAAGAATGATACCAAAACCAAACGTCCTGCTGTTGAGTCAATTGCCATTCATGGTGGCTCCTTCTCCGGGTCCCTGTGTAACTCATCATGGGAGGAGACTGTCCATTTTCCCCCCAGGGAGCAGTTGGAAAACTTGAGGGACTCACCTTTTGTTTAGCAGCTCAGCATGCTATGCACTGCACCCCCAACACTTCATAACAAAGAATTAGATGTGAAAAGTCCCCAAAATGGTATTTTTATGTATACTTAATATTTGTAAAACATGAAGAAACAGAATTTGTCATAAAACTTTTGTCTGCAATGAAAAATATAGGTGATAATGACAATAAACTTAGATTTCCTTTTTCATTTATTGTGGTAGATGCTTTCTCTTTTTTTCTTCTCTAAATTGCTATAGCCAAAGTGTCATAGTAATTATTAGATATCTTGAGCTATGAGTACATCTTATATAGAATTAACTCATTTTGCTGAAAGTGGTGTTATATCTACTGTCATTGTATTCAAGGATGTATCAGGAACTTATTTCTATAACCACTGATTAGTATTCCACTGTCACAACCCTGCTTGCTGAAACTGAGGAGGACCTCATGCACTTGCTGCAGAGGGTCAAGGACTGCAGCCTTCAATATGGATTGAGGCTCAATGTTAAGAAGACAAAGATCTTCACCACTGGGCCAGTTGGCAACATTAGGATGGATGGTGAAGAGATTGAGATTGTTTACCGCTTTAGTTTGCTTGGATCCACAGTCAACACTCTTGGCCCTAGCAGCCAGGAAATTAAAAGACATATTGTGATGGGAAAATCTGCTGTTAGGGACCTCTTCAAAGTACTGAAGAGCAGTGGTGTCACTCTGGAGACTGAGGGGTACCTGACATGTGTCATGGTGTTTGCAGTCACTTATTAGCGTCAGAGAGTTGGACAATAACTAGGGAGGATAGAAGGAGAATTGATGCCTTTGAGCTGTGGTGCTGGAGAAGAGTACTGAAGGTACCATGGACTGCTTAGAAAACAGAGTCATCCTGGAGAAGGTTAAACCAGGCTGCTTCTTGGAGGCAAGGATTCTGAGAGGAATATCATGCTTAGGAGGGTGGAGGGACAGTGCAGGAAGCGGAGGTCCTCTGTGAGGTGGATTGATTCAGTGACTGGAATAATCGGGATGGGTGTGCCAGAGACAGTGCAATTGGCACAGGACAGAGCAGAGTTTAGGGCTGTTGTACATAGGGTCGCTATGAGTTGCAAGCAGCTCAGTGGCACATAACAACAACAGCCACATCTCATTTGAATTTCTTGATCATCTACTACTGGAACTCTGAGGTCGTTTCCTCCTTTTTGTTATTATGACTAGTGCTGTGATGAACATAGATATACACGAAACTTTGTGTCACCTCTTTAAATTTCTAAGGTTTGTCCTTAGAAGTGCTCTTGCTGAGTCATACCACACTTTAAGAATTTTTTTTTGATATTTTAATGAAAGTTTATAGAGAACTTGGATTTCCATTCATTCATTGTTGTACATTTGACTCTCTGCCACACCCCAGTTCACTTTCCTCATTGAAAAAAAATCTTTCGTTGTACGATTCCCCTGCCCCAGTCCACAATACTATGCAGCTCTTATTCTGGACTGATGTCATGCAAATAATACCTAATCATATTTGAACCTTACCTTGGCTCTTAATTTTGGTTGGACCTTTGGGCCTGTGATCCTCAGGCCTAGATTTCATTGTTTTTGGTCAGTCTTATAAGTGGTATAGCACTGGTCTTTGCTGTACAGAGGTAACTTGTGGTGGCTTTGAACACTGTGACACTGATGTGTCATATATGATAATGGTTACCCATGGTGGACAGTGTTTGGTGGAGATCCACGGTTCAAGTTTGGCCGAAGAAGTGACATCCACTTCTGAAAGAGCTTTCCTCTGGAAACCCTATGAACTTGGAGAAATGATGGAAGTTATACAGGTGTTCAGGTCTTTCGTTCATAGGGTCACTATGACTGCACTTAACAACAACAGCATCAACATTCTTTTTAAGCAGTTCTTTCTCTCATGTGTTGTTAGTGCAGTGTACATTGTTTATTCCTTCTTTTCTTAGTTTTCCCTCAACCCCCATGCCAGTCCTGGCTTATAACAGTGGCATTTTGCAGTATTGTCCTTTTTTTGACTGAGGTATTTCACACAGCGTAATGTCCTCCAGCTGTGACACGGATGTGTCAAATGCATTAATGGTTGGCTACCCAGTGCAGACAAGAGAGTGGGGTGGAGCTCCCCGATTAAAACAAGTGTGGAAGGAGGAGTGGCATCCACTTCCATAATAGCTTGCCTCCGGAAACCCTGTGAACCTGGAGAGAGGATGAAAGGCATCCAAACATCGAGGACTCTCCTTCCTAGGGTTGCTATGAGTTGCCTGCGACTCGATGGCACTTAACAACAACAACAACAACAACAACAATGTCCTCCAGGGTCACCCATTTTGTGTAATATTTCATGAGTCCCTTGTTTTTCAGTGCTGCAAAATATTCCATTATGTACCACAGCTTCTCTATCCATTTGTTTGTTTATGGGCATTTGAGTTATTCTGTCTCTTTGCTGTTGTGAACAGTGCAGCAGTAAACATGGGTGTGCATATATCTGGGTTGCAGTTCTGATTTTAGCATATATTCCTAGTAGTGGAATTGCACCATCCTGCCTTCCATAGTGGTTGTACCATTTTACACTCCCACCAGCAGTGAATAAGGGTTCCAGTTTTTCTACAACCTTGCAGCATTGTTCATTTACTTCACCAAAAGAAGACATTCAGGTGTCGAACAAACACATGAAGAAATGCTCAAAATCACTAGCTCTAAGAGAGATGCAAATCAAAACAACTGTGAGATTTCATCTCACCCTAGTAACAGTAGCAAAATTCAAGAGAGCCGCAAACAACAAATGATTTAGAATTTTTTAAAGGAATTTCCAGACTGTTTTTCACAGTAACATGCCATTTTACGTTTCTGTCAGCCTTGAATGTTGTTGTTCTTGTTGTTGTTGTTAATGTGCCGTCAAGTGGCTTGCGACTCATAGCAACCCTATGTACAACAGCCCTAAACCCTGCTCAATCCTGTGCCAATCACACTGCCTCTGACATACCCATCCTGATTACCCCAGTCATTGAATCAATCCACCTCATAGAGGGTCTTCCCCTCCTGCGCTGTTCCTCCACGCTCCCAAGCATGATGTCCCTCTCCAAGGACCTGTCCCTCCTTACAACATGCCCAAAGTATGTCAGACTAAGCCCGAGAATCCTTGTCTCCAAGGAATAGCCTGGTTTAACCCTCTCCGGGATGAATCTTGTTTGTTTTCTTGGTAGTCCATGGTACATTCAATACTCTTCTCCAACATCACAGCTCAAAGGCATCAATTCTCCTTCTATCCTCCCTAGTCATTGTCCAACTTTCCGATGCATAACAAGTGATTGCAAATACCATGGCCTGTATCAGGCGTACCTTCATCTCCAAAGAGACACTGTTGCTCTTGAGTACTTTAGAGAGGTCCCTAACAGCAGACTTTCCCATCGCAATACGGTTTTTTATTTCCTGGCTGCTGGTGCCAAGAGTGTTGACTGTTGGAGCCGAGCAAACTGAAGCTGTGAACAATCTCAATCTCTTCGCCATCCATCCTGATGCTGCCAACTGGTCCAGTGGTGAGAATCTTTGTCTTCTTGACATTGAGCCTCAGTCCATACTGAAGGCTGCAGTCCTTGACCCTCTGCAGCAAGTGCATGAGGTCCTCCTCAGTTTCAGCAAGCAAGGTTATGTCATCAGTATAATGCAGATTGTTAAGAGATCTTCCACCAGTGCAGACGCCACACTTCTCATAGACCCCAGCCTCTCAGATAATCTGCTCTGCGTACAGGTTGAAAGGGTGTGCAGATAGGACACATATCTGGCGTACACCCTTCCCAGTTTTGAACCGTGCAGTGTTACCCTGCTCTGTTCTGATGACTACCTCTGCCGTGAATAAGATTTCCAATTTTTCTCCATCTCCTCCTGACCTTGTTATTTTCTGTTTTCTTTGTTTTTTAATCTTGGTTATCCTAATGGGAATGAAATAGTACTTCTTTGGAGTTGTAAAACTCATAGGTTCTTTGCAGTAAATATAAAACTAAGTAGAACCTTGATTTATCATTTTTCCTAGTTAAAATGTTGATTCTCCATGCCGTTAGAAACGAGCAATACACTTAAGGATTTCAAAGATGATAAAATAAAAAAAAACTAGCTTTAAACTGACTATTATGTTTTGCTCTTAGTCATTGCTGCTAACTTTCTTGTCACCTTATGTTGCAGACCAAGGATAAAGTGTTTTTATAATTATTAATAATGAGACAGACTACCAAGAATGAGATAGAACAGAGAACATAAAAACAGGGGGCGAGTAGTTTTCATGACTGAAGGCCTCAAGCTGTGCCTCTCTGGGTATTTATTGAGAATCATAAGGATGGTAAACAAAGGAAAATCATAAGGGAGTACAAAACAAAAACAAGGGATCATGGGGATGTCTTTTGCAGATAGGGCCAAGATCCTCTCCATTGTTTACTTTATGCTTATCTCAGGAAGGAGGGATTCAGTAAATACAAACTAAGAACAATGTTGGGTGTCTTAGGGTCAACTCTAGCTCCTATTATGCCTCCCTTATATGCTGATATATCATGTGGTCTACTCTTAAAGTATTAAATTTGATATCCGGCTTCCCTCAACCTTAGACAAAGTCATTTCTGTTTATTGGACTTTAATTTCTTCCTAAAATCAAACAGTTCTGCATATAACGTCTCAGTACTGGCTCTGACTGGCTTATAGAAACCCTTTCTGCAACAGAATGAAGCCTTGCCCGGTCCTGCACCAAGCCTCACAACTTGTGCTGTGCTGAAGTCACTGTTCTAATCTCTGTATCAGGTAGCCTCCTGTATTCCAGGCTTGGTACCTTATTCCAACAATT